CGGGGAGGCCCGGGGCGCCGGGAGGCGCGGGCGCCCGCGCTCACCTTCCCGCTTCCGGCTTGCTTTTCAGTGGTCGCCGAGTTCGGGCGCATCGCCGTGGAGTTCCTGCGGCGGGGGTCGAACCCCAAGGTCTACGATGGCGCCGCCAGTAAGAGGGAGCGGGCTGGACGGGGGGCTGTGCTGCGGGGGGAGCTGGGGGGGGTCAGGCCCGCCGGCGCGGGGGGAGCTGCGGGTGGGGCAGGCCCGCAGGCAGTGCGCGCTGCTGGCCGTTCTCTGGACAGAGAGGGAGTGGCTTTTGAGCCCCGGGGTTTTGCTCCTGTCGCAGGAGGTCACCCTCCGTGGTGATCTTCTGTCAGGCCACAATCCCTCTTGTCCCCCAAGTGGCTGGGGGCCGGGTGGGGTGGGGGTGGAGCATGTCAGCATGTCTTCTAACAGTCTGTTACATCAGGTTCTTCATACTTAAAAAGGCACTGGTGCCCTGAGCCGGTAATCCTGGCTACTCAGGAGGCTGAGATCTGAGGCCTGCCTTGCAGACAAATCCTAGAGACTCTTAACTTCCAGTTAACCAGCAAAAAAGCTGGAAATGGAGCTGTGGCTCAAGGAGTCGAGCACCAGTCATGAACAAAAGAAACTGAGCATCTGAGAGGTCCAGAGTACAAGCTCCAGTACTGGTACAAAATAAGTAAACCTAGTATCATCTGCCTTGCAGGAGTGCTGTGATGCTTAGTAAACTACTGTGTGAAGGCTGTGGCTGGTTGGGCTTGTGGGTAGCTTTCTTTTGCTGAAGTGTGTTTTCCCTGGAGGATGTGGCCTGGGGGTGAAGTCAAGTTCCTCCTCTGCCAGGCTAGAAAAGGAGTGCTGGCTTGGAACTGTGCTTCACTCTGCGTGTTGTCATGGTTCCTAGGAAGGAAATGCTGACAGCATCTGAAGGGGAGAGGAGACTCGCCCAACTTAGTCTCCTTCATTGCAGGGCTTGAAAACACAGGAGTACCTGAAAATGTTTACTTTTAAATGTAGCTTGAGTAACAGGAAAGAGAATACACAAAAATGTGTTCATTTTCACTTCTCTTAGGAAAACTCAATGTGAGTAGTGACACCATCCAGCATGGGGTGGAAGGATTAACATACCTCCTCACAGAGAGTTCAAAGCTTATGGTAAGGGCTTCTGCTGACTGCTTTGATTAACCTGGATTCTGTGTGTGCATGTGTGCGTAGTGGGACCGGAGTTTGAACTCAGGGCTTGGGTGCTTTTAATGTTTAATTGGAGATAAGAGTCTCACTGACTTTCTGGCTAGGTCTTCAGGTCTCAGCCTCCTGAACGGCTAGTATTACATGGGCAGTTAAGTGTTTGCATGTATCACTAAGTCAGATTTTGGAAGAATAGGCTGTGGTTTCCTTTTAACTATAAGAAATCTTGTACGCAAATAAATTATGAGATATCATGTACACCTCTTGTATTTTTTACTCTTTTTCTGAACTTTAAAAGATTGTACAAGGGGGTTACAATTTAATATGTCCCTCTTAAGTGTGTAGTTCTCGAGTGTATTTCAGCATTTACTGGACAAAAATAAATCTTGATACTCTGTTAAACTCAATTTACTTTAGATTTCTGAACTGGATTTCCAAGACTCTGTTTTTGTTCTGGGATTCTCTGAAGAGTTGAACAAATTACTGCTTCAGCTTTATCTGGACAACAGAAAGGAGATCAGAAATATTCTGAGTGAACTGGCGCCGGCGCTGCCCAGCTACCATAGCCTTGAATGGAGATTGGATGTACAGGTACGGCTTTTTTTTTTGGGTCCAGTTGTGGGGCATGAACTCTGGGCCTGGGCGCTGTCCCTCAGCTCTTCAGCTCAAGGCTAGCACTCTACCACTTGAGCCATAGTGCCACTTCCGGCTTTTTTCTTTTTGCTTATGTGGTGCTGAGGAATCGAACCCAGGGCCTCAGGCATGGAAGGCAAGCGCTCTACCACTGAGCCACCTTCCCAGCCCAGGTACGGCTTTTTCAACCTGACATAAGATATCGATTAAGAGTTAGCCATGCTTATTGTATTCTTGACTACCCTAACCAAATTCTGGTTGGAAACTTTGATTTAATGTCCTTTTTCAGATAGTTACAGTAGTTTGTTTCCCTTTGTTTTCAATGTGTTCAGCTATGTCACTTGTGTAGTTTTTAAGAAGTAGGTATTTGGGGTAAGGAGAAAGGTGTGCAGGTTTCCTCTTGCAGTGTAGCACACACAAAGGGAAATAAGCAGTCCCGTGCAGCCCGAAGAGTTGTCAGGGACCAGACAGGACCCATGCCCTCCTCGGCCACGGTGTGTCCTCCTTTAATCCTGCCTTCCAGTGCATAGACCTGCCGGCCTTGTACCTCCCTGCGGGTGCGCACACACGCACGCTCACGTACACACGCACGCTCGCTCACACACGCACGCACACACACACAGTACACACGCAGTGATCCTGTACATGCTCTGTGCGGGTGAAGTTTGAGAGTACTTGTCTAACCCTGCATTCATCCCCAGCACCATAAATACAGATACTTCATGTCTTCCCCTCACATTATTTTTGTGAGATTCATCTTTTAGCTTATTTTTTTTCAAGTTTTTTGTTTTTTTTTGGGTCCGGTCGTGGGGCCTGAACTCTGGGCCTGGGCGCTGTCCCTCAGCTCTTCAGCTCAAGGCTAGCGCTCTACCACATGAGCCACAGCGCCACTTCCGGCTTTTTTCTTTTTGCTTATGTGGTGTTGAGGAATCGAACCCAGGGCCTCGAGCATGCAAGGCAAACGCTCTACCACTGAGCCACCTTCCCAGCCCTATTTTTTTCAAGTTTTATCAAGGATTTATTTTAGTAAAAAACAGTTCAAGTAGGGAGAAGCAGAAGAAACATTTCTTGCTTCTTGTATAGAAAATGTAGTTAAAGACTCACTTTGAGGTTGAGTGCCAGTGGCTCACACCTGTAATCCTGGCTACTCTGGAGGTTGAGATCTGAGAAACGCAGATAGCCAGAGCAAGAAAGTCCATGTAACTCTTACCTCCAACTAACCAACAAAAGGCTAGAAGTAGAGCTGTGGCTCAATTGGTAGACCACCAGCCTTGAGCAAAAATATCAGGGGACAGGGCCCAGGCCCTGAGTTCAAGCCCCAGGATCAGGATTAGCACAAAAAAAATATTTCTCTATTTTTTAAAGCCATAAATAAGAGAAAGAACCAGGCATAGAAACTTGCGCCACAAGTCCCAATTGCATGGGAGTCTGAGACAGTATCTCTTGAGGCCAGGAGCTCGAGACCAGTCTACTTATATATGTACAAAAAGACATATATATATATCATAAACACATAAAAGCATAGATGCATTTATGCAGAGTCTGAGGTCTTTGCCACACCATCAGCATTGCAAGTGAGGCCCAGCCCTGACACTGGGCCTCAGGAATTTGTTGTGCACCCTGGGTACTGGCTTCTTTGTTGCATGAGTGTTGCTAAATAGCTTCCTCCAGTTTGGATTGGCTTTAAGGAAGAAAATATATTAATGCAGCCTTAGACTAATTAGTCTTGTCTCTATGGTTTGTGTCTTTTGTACCACGTTTAAGAAAGTTTTCCAAACCATAGGCATCATTTGTATTCTTATTTTTCTCTAGAGAGTTTAAGGTTTGCTTTTCATTTTGAAGCTTGTCACCTTATGTTCTGAGTTTTGTATGAGCTGTTAAGGCAGTGTTCACTTGTTACTGTGCTTTTTCCATGGACAATCCAGCTTGCCAGCAGAAGCCTCAGGCAGCAAATTAAGCCATCAGTGACCCTGAAGCTGCACCTGGATCAGAACGGAGGCCACAGCACCAGAATCGTGCAGACGGACCCGGCCACCCTGCTTCATCTGGTCCAGCAGCTGGAGCAAGCATTGGCAGAGATGAAAACCAGCCACTGTAGGAGGGTCATCCGCAACATCAAGTAGCAGGTTCAGCGTTGTTCCGCGTCCGGGGTCTGCCTTGAAGGCCGGGGTCTTGTTGAGCAATGGCCACTCATGTACTGCCTGTTTCCAGGGGCCGTTTTTCAAGAGCAGTTTCTTGTTGAGTGATGGCGATGAGCATATCCCTGGATTTCTTCTTCTGTTCTACACTGAGGCTATGGTCAGAACTGACCTTAAGTTCCTTCCCTGGTGCTACATACGGACAGCTTCCGGTCAGATGGAAATTCTTTTGTATTTTAAATGTGTAAATATAGTTGAAGCAGCCATCTTCTACACATGAGTATTCTGGTTTCAGTGTGTTTTTGTGTCTGCTTACCATTACAATTTTCTCCTTGTTGATCAAGCTTTGAAAACAAAATTCACAGTTTAATACTATTTAGGAGTTTAGTGTTTTGGGATTTTAAAAGCACCCTACATATTTACTAGCATAGAATCATTTAAAAGAAAACATAATTTTTCTAACAATATGCCTCCACTATTGGCAGCCTGTGCAGCTTTGTATGTGATGACAAAGTAGTATTTTCCATCCAGATTGTGATGGCTAATTCACTTCAGTAATACTCCAGTTTGCGCAGTCATGTACTACATTTTTGAAGGATAATTTTCTTGATACCCAGGGCAACTAAAAGACAATATCATTTGCATCTTTAAATTCCAAACACAGACACTTGATTATTCAGGTATGAATTGCAGTCACTGTTTGAAGGGCATCTTTATTATGATACAAACAAATATTGTTTCTTCCTTGCAAACTTGATTTCTTTTTGCCTGTACTGAGACTTGAACACTTGGTCGGATTGCTTGCTTTTCTGGTACTTTGCCATAATTAAGCCATATTTCCAGCCAGGCTTTTTTGCCAGTTATTTACATATATACTTACATCTATAGGTACACACATATATGTACACATACATACATCTAGTATTTTGTGTATGTTTATGGGTGTACGTGTATGTGTATATATATATATATAATATATATATATGAGTGAGTGTGTGTGTGTGAGTGAGTGTGTGTGAGTGTGTGTGTGTACTTCGGGTACATGAGGTTCCCACCGCATGACCCTTCAGGCTCAGCCTCCTGGCTGCTGTGCAGGCACCACTACTAACTTGTTTTTTATTTTAACAATTCCTTTCTACCAGAACTCAAACAGCTGTACATGCTAGCCACAAGCCCATGAATGGTGTGTACAATAACGGAGAGCTATAGGATTTGGTACTATCAAGGTTTGAACTTGAGTCATCTCACTTGGTATCATCACACCACACCTCCACCTTTTTTGGTTATTTTGCTTTTTTTTGGGGGGGGGGGCCCAGTAGTGGGGCCTGAGCTCTGGGCCTGAGGGCTGTCCCTCAGCTCTTCAGCTCAAGGCTAGCACTCTACCACTTGAGCCACAGCGCCACTTCCAGCTTTTTTCTTTTTGCTTATGTGGTGCTGAGGAATCAAACCCAGGGCCTCAGGCATGCAAGGCAAGCGCTCTACCACTGAGCCAACATCCCAGCCCATGCTTTTTTTTTTGTCAGTTATAGGGCTTGAACTCCGCACTGTCCCTCAGCTTTTCAGCTCAAAACTAGCGCTCTACCACGTGAGCCACAGTGCTTCCAGTTTTCTGAGTGGTTTATTAGCGATAAAAGTGTCACTGACTTTCCTGCCCGGGCTGGCTTTGAATCGCAATCCTCAGATCTTAGCCTCCTGAGTAGCTAGGATGACAGGCGTGAGCCACCAGTGCCTAACCCCAAGTTAGCATTTTCTAAGTTGGAGTGTTCTGTTGTGGAGTGTGCATTGGTGCCATTACTGCATCACAGTACCCTTGAGCACACACGCTTTCCTCTCCTGAGCTTCACTCACTACTCTTCAGTGGCCAACAAACTACTCTTTGGTTTTCCTTCATTGCCAGTCTGCTCGGCAACCCAAACTCAAAGTATTTTTGCCTCTTCCCATTAACCGTGTATGGTCTTTTGCCTCATTTGTTTTTTCTTTCCTACATGGACCTGTAATCCAGTTATGTGTAGCATTGTATGGGGAGAACAAAAAAAAAAACAAATTTTGAACCTTTTCCTAGCTCCTTTGACATCACCCAGATTGAATTTTGTTAAATATTTATTAAGTGCTGGGAGTGTTCACCGTTGTTGTTGTGTGTCGAGCAAAGGATAAAGTCCTAATCTTCTCAGTTTAGTGTGTGCTCAGGTCATTCCATCCTGTTTAATCCATAAGCTCATTAGGATGGAAAGAATCCAACAGCTGGGGCGGGGGTGAAGAAGGGGCTCCTATGGTTGGTATCTGCTTTCCTTAGGCTGCAGGAAAGACTCTCCTGAGAGGTGTTAGTCTGAAAAGGGGCTCCTTCGGGAGCTGCCTGGAAACCCCAGGGTGCCGGGTGGAGCTGAGCTCAGGGCACAGCACGGTGGGGGAGGGGCACTCAGGCCCAGAGAGGTGGCAGGATGTACCCCCCACCACCCAGGTGGGGCTCCCCGGGGCACCCACAGTGTGCGCGGAGAAGCAAGTGGAATTCTTTTTCACCTGCGTGCCGGTGTTCAAGGAGAAGCAGATGCCTGTGGTTTTCAGAGGAATGTGCTTAGTTCCCAGAACTGGCAGTTAACTCAAAGACTAAAAACACAGATTAAAATTCAAAGAATGAGGAAAAGGGAATACAGGGAAATCTGAGTTTCAGCAGGGAAAGTATAGATGGCGAGGATAGGATTTTCTGGCATGGTTTGAAGAACCGTGTCTAACACATGAATATACCTAGCCCAAGAGACTTAAGTGAGTTGAAGGCTGAAAGTTAACTAAAAACAAAAAGTTTTTTTTTTTTTTTTTTTTTTGCCATTTTGACTCTGCTCTTCGAGAAGGCAGAAATGACTTATCATTGATCATGAGCAGTGGAATGAAAGTCTTTTGTGAAAACCCGTCTGCTTGCTAGAGTTTAGCTATTGTATATTCCATCCTGGATATTTTTGCTTCCACTCTGCAGTTCTTAAACCCTTGGAGTCATTTCGTGTGAAATCTCTTGCTGAGCCTTGCCTTAAAAAGTTGTTTTTATTGAGCTGGTGATATGACTTAGTGTTAAGAGCACCTGTCTAGCAAGTGAGAAACGCTGATTTCAAACCCCAGTACCTGGGGGCTAGGAGGACACAATTAGATGGCAATGGTAGCTCACATCTGTAATCCTAGCTACTTAGGAGGTTGAAACATGGAAGATCTTGGTTCAAAGCCAACCTGGGCAGAAAGGTCTGCCAGACTTTGTCTCCAGTTAACCAGCAAAAAATCTGGTCTGGGGCCATGACTCAAGAATTGGAGCCACCAGCTAGTAAGCCTAGTGAAAGCCTAAGGCCCTGAGTTCAAATCCCCTCTCCTCCCAAAAGTGAAGTTAGAGGAACTGTGGATAAACTTAGCTAAAGTCAGTCCACGAAAGAAAGGCTATTTGTATATCCTTTTACTTGAAGGTCAAAGATTTCTTACCAAGATGAGATGTTGTGTGGATGTTCAGAAAAGACAGGGAAGCCTGTATTTACTTCATCTACTTCCTTAACTTGGAAAGGTAAAAACCGTTTTGAGAACAGAGCAGTTGCTTTTGTTGAAGTTTACTCTGCAGTCTTGCGTTTCTTGGTGGTTGGTACTGAGGTTTGAACTCAGGACCTTGTACCTGCTAGGCTGTTGCTCTGCTACTTGATCCTTCTCGCCCTTGTTTTTGCTGTTATTGTCTTGAAGTTCAGTCATCTGATGGCTTCACTGAAACTCTTTTGCTTTGCTCTCTTAAGGGAGTATCGAGAGACAGCTTTCTCTTTTTAACGAGCCGGTGGCTCATTGGACATTGTGCCTTTAGGTTCAGTTCAGGGGGAGCCTTGATCCTTTTGTTCTGTTTCAGTTTGCTGGTAGAAATAAAACAAATACCATCACATAAATATCAAATGCTGCAGTGTACCTGCCAGGGAGTGGACATGCGTGCATGTCCTGCACTGCCAGGATATCTTGGTGTCCCACCTTAGTCTCCCATTTCAACAAGGATTTCACCCCCCTCACTTCTCCCTCCCTCCTCCCCCAGCAGGGCGGGGCGGGGGGGGGCCGGGAATCTCCCTCCCTGGCCTCCAGCCTGTGCTCCTTCTGCTGCCTGAACTCCTCCTGCTCCTCCCCCCCTGCTCCCCCAGTGGGACGGCACCCCCCACCCTCTCCAGCATCCTGACACTTCTGAGGCTTCTACTTAGCCATCTTCCTTATCATAAAGATGCAAGCATTTCCCATCTGACTCGTCCTCACATCCCCGATTCACACCCCGCTCCTGATAACCATTCTGATGACTTGTTCCAAAAGCACCTTTCCACAGAGTCTCTGGCTTTGCATCTCCGTCCTCACCTTACGAGCTATCTCAGCAGCATTTGCTGTGCTTAATTGCTTAAATGTATACTTTTCCTCAGCCATTTCTGGGGGAAGGGGGTCTTTCCCCCTCCCTTTGTGGTCATTCTTCATTTTGCGTTCTGTATCTAACACCATATTCTCATTTTCCTTTGTAGGATTCTCTCGTGTTTCCCAGAGTCTTGTCCTAAGCCATTTTTCTTCGCAGACTTGTGCCTGGTAGTATGGTTTGTTCCACAGTGTCCCCATCAGTTTTCTGATCATGTCAACTGTGGGTCTCTGGTCCATACGGCCACCCGGGTTGACATGTATGTAGCCATCTGCCAAATGCTGCACATAATACTCGAGGTGAGTACAGTTGTTCTACAGACTTGAGCTTCTTTTTGTGCCCTGTGTTGAGGAGCTGTGGGGTCTTACCGCGTGGTTGCTGGGCCCAGGGCTGTGCCGCTCTTGGTTTCTCTGTCTACTCACCACCTATGGTGGTGGTTTCCCAGTCCCCATGTCCTCGGGTCCTGTGCTTGTTGCCTTGGCGTTCTCTTGCCTGGTACCTGTGCGACGTCCAGTCGTCCCGTCTGCCCTCTCCCCTCATAAGCAGCCCCATCTTCCCAGACCCCAGTACGTTCCTCACCCATGGTCAGGATTATATCCACAGAGAAGACCCATGCTCCGGCTGCTCAAGACTCTGAGTCCAGATGTCTTTATGTGGCTCAGGTCTGGCCCCGGCCTCCACATGCTGCCTCCTCTCTGGAGAGGCCTCCCTCCAGCCTCCCACTCCTGATGACCCACTCTGTGTGGCTCACTCATCTGCCCACAGCCACAGCCCCTTCCCTGCGCACGCACGCTGCCATCCTTGTCAGGGATCCGCCAGGCTTGACTGAATACTAGACTGGTTTTCTGTTTCCCTTGCAAGTCACTCTCTTGCTATGAAAGGAAGACGGGGA